AGTTGCTCAAAGTGGATTGAAGGAGTTGTGAGAGCGGTAACAGGGCGTATGGAAAAATATTCCCCCGGAAATGGTACGACGGTATACCCAAAATATGCCCAGACGCATAGAAGAGCTAAAAAAGTCCAAGGAGATGTGAACTCACTATTAAAAAATCATTAATAAAAATATTTCTTAAAAAAATAACCAGAGTGCAAAACTGTAACATTTGACTTTTTTACAGTTTGGCGCGTCATTTTCTTTAAATGATATCAAATGGCTTTGAATTTTACTTAATAGTAGTAAATTATATAACCTACAAAACAAGACTAAGATCTTCAAAATCCGTGCATTAGAAAAAAGTTACAGACCTTTGAAGTTGAAACAATGAAATCGTGTTACAGTTTTGCTCGTCAGTGTATATATATATATATATATATTTATACCTAATAAATAAAGAACTTTAGCATCAAAAGAGTATACATAAATCGAACGCCCCTTAGCCATATTTCCCATCTTTTTTTTTTTTTTTTTTTACTTTTATAAATGTGGAAATTTATTCAGTGATTAGCGCACTGTTACCAAATTGGCAGCTTAATCTAATCTTTATATACAATATAATACAAAACTATGTCTAAAAGTTAATTAGGGCAGGAAGTAAGTTAAAGTTTTTTTTTTTTTTTTTAATAATAATGTGGGTTGCTGGGTTCGGCGCTGTTTGCGGAAAAATGATTGCACTTTGGCTCAGAAAAATGAGATATAAAATCACACCATTAAAATATAAACCGCAAATCCTTGACCGGGTTATTTTTAAGCGCGAAAATGTAAAATCGACTTCTGCATGAAGGCATCCAAAACGACAAATGAATCACTTATTCTAAAAGTGGGCACACTCTTTTTTCTGCACAGTATATTTTTGGGAGTGAATAGGGTAGTATTGTCTGTTTTGATTGACAGTAGTCTCACTCATTCCATAGTTGTACAGCTGTTAATGAGGACAGCAAAATTGGTGTGCAGTAGTCAACGCACTGTACAGTCCCTGCAGTTCTGGCTGTCACCTGGTGACTCGTGTCATTTAAGCAATCGTGTGTGTAGGAAAGGAAAAGGGATATTCCTAAGTTTCCCTCTTTCTCACTCTTATAATACAAATTTGGGTTTCGATGGGAAATACGGCTAAGGGGCGCTCGACTTATGTATACTCTTTTGATGCTAAAGTTTTTCATATATTAGATATATATAAACTTATATATATAATATATTTTATATATACAATATTATTAAAATTATTGAACCAAGGAAACTATGACATAACATTAATTACAAATATAGATATAATATAACTCGCGTGTCATTTATGGTCGACTTTAATCCAAAAAGAAGGGTATACTAAAACGAAAAAAAAACGGAGCAAAGGGTAAAAAAATGAAATTGACCAGCGTCATTCTTTTGCGTAGTGCGTTGACGATTGGTTGTGAAATTACTTAATTTGTGTTTAAAAATCATGTAAGTGTCGTTAAGATTATAAAAATAGTATGTTTTTTAACTAAAAACCTTTTTAAATCTTCTTAAATATTTTCAAGATTCAGCCATACATATGTCCGATACATTCGTTTGAAAGGTAAGTTTGCTTTTAAATCAAAAAAGTCATATATAATATGGAATAATAATAGTACCTTGTGTATCTAGTGCGGTAAGAACGAGATTACACTCGTGTGAAGTTATGCACGAGTGTGGTCTCGTATTTACCGCACGTGGTACACACGGTGCTTTATGTCCGTAAACCCTTAAAAATTTGGCATTTTGAGTGCCTGTAGAGCACTATTTAACAATAAATTTGTTTTTCCGAGGGAAACGAGGAGTGCGAGGGTAAGGGTTTTAACAAAAATCACTTTCAACTTGTTATTATATATTTTCTTTATTATTCTTTACTATACTAACAGTACTCTTTTTACTTCACTGTTCACCGTTACTTTACTCCAGGGGTGCTCAAATTCGTCTTATGGCACCGCCATAATGGCAGTGCGTTTACTAACACACCCACAAGAAAACGTGTACATATGTAGCGGCGCGTTTGGGTTGGCGCGCAGCTGTGCACTGAGAGAAAAAAAAAGTTTTAAATATTTATTTTTGGGTTTTTTTTATTTATTACGCATTGTACTTCGCATTTAAAGTTTATGCTAAAAAAAACTGCTCTCTAATTCATCACTCATTTTGATCCGCCAAAAAATTTAACATAAAACTTACGATGGTCCACCACGAAATAAATCAAAAGCCAACGCAGACAGAAAAATAAAGTTCAGTGCATGTGCTCGAGGAAAAAACAAAAACAAAATACATTGCGTTTCGCATGCAAATCGAAGCCCATATGCACGGTTCTTATTCGCGAACTACCCATAAGCACAGAGCATCTACAACATGCACCGCTGCTTTACTCTCTAGCTTTTTTGTTGCCTTTTCATTCGGGAAGTACCGTATCTGTCAAAAATCTCGCGCAAAACTGCCTGTAAAACCGATTACGCACGGGTTATGCTTTGGTAAAGTTTCTTACGCATGCATCCCTGAAAAACAATTTTAGGGGTTCTAGGACATAAAAACAATTTTATACCATTTCAATGGAGACGGACGCAAAACAGACGCTGCCCTACGAATATTCGTCAGAAGCCATATTAAGTTGTAACCACATATTAATGGTAAACGAAAACTTTCGATTTTCATATTATTTATCAACTTATCTCTTATGTTATAAAATAAGATATTTTAATAAAAATAAAAATGAAATAAATATATATAAATATATATATTGTTTTTCATATGAATTTGGGGATGACATTTTTAGACATTGACATTAATGATTTCACTAGGGGTATCCTCCCAGAAGCCATCGATGAAATTGTCTCCCCCACGTCACCAACGAAGTCATCAATAGCTTATACGAATTTTCTCCATACAAAATTCGTATAAGCCACTGATGACTCGTTCGATGAAACGGAAAAAATTGTCATCCAGAGCGTCACGCATACAAAAAACAGAGACTCCATACAAATGTCTATATGAAATTGCATCGGATCGACACCAGTGCCTGATTCCCATGTCGTCGGTGCGTCGTCGTCCATGTCATCGACGAAAAGCCGCTTTTGGAGCTGCAGGTTATTTTTTCCAGAGTTCTATGCAGTTTTCTATATTATTTGTCACAGACGTAAGTAATAGATTGGCAGAAAACCACCGTTTTAATATATTCAAGTTAAACTGTTTCCGATTAAAAATATGGTAAAGTTGCGCTTTAGGGGCTTTTGCTAAAAATGGGCTGGAAAATTTAATCTTTTTTTAAAAAGCTACTTTGGGACCTAAACATTAATAAAAAAGTGGCAAGAAGCAAAGTGGCAAAAAAAAGTTAGCAAAAGCCCCTAATGCGCAACTTTACCAAAAATATTTACGTTCATAATATGGAACACGTCTTCCTGGCTCAATTTTTAATTGTTCAATATTTTTAAATCACTCTAAAAGAATTGGCACAGCAAAGACGAATGCGCAGATGCGCCATCGGAGTTCGCTAATACATATATTTATATATGAATACCCTGCAGTTCCAAAAGTGCCTTGTCGTGGATGACATGGACGACTACCCACTGATGTCAGTGTCCGAAGCACATGGATCCGCACTGATGTCATTTCATATAAAGTTGTTGTATGGCATTTAAGGATTTGACATGCATGTCGCTCTCGATGACCATTTTGACCGAGTCATCGAGCGAGGCATCAATGGCTTATACGAATTTTGTATAGAGAAAATTCGTATAAGCTATTGATGCTTTCGATGCTGACGTGGAGGCGATGTTGAAATCGATGGCTTTTGCGAGGATACCCTTAGTGAAATCAGCGATGTCTTTATGAATATGTCGTTGGTGCATTCATCGGTGTCTTTTTAAACAATGTCCTATATAAATTCACCAATACATTTTTTTTTTGAAAAAAACACGTTTTCAATACAGTTTTAAAATATTTTCTTTTTATTGTAATTATTATTATTATAATTATTATTGTTATTATTATAATTATTATTATTATTGTTATTATTATAATTATAAGAACGGGAGGACGGTATCTGGATAGAAGACGACACAAAGACGGCGGCAATATGGATTCCGAACCCTTTCACGGTATCTTATGTGAGCGACAAAACAGGAAGTTGCCACGTCCTAACACACATCAGAAACTGGACGATATTTAGCTGCTATCTGACCCCAAGTGACGACATTCAGACCTTTCAGACGAAACTCGAAGATATCGAAGACAACGCAAGGCAAATAAGAGGGAACGTTATAAAAGCAGGAGACTTTAACTCGAGAGCTCAGGAATGGGGTATGCCATCAACTGACTCTCGAGGCCGTAGAGTCCTAAACATGGCTGCTAGAATAGGAATAACAACAGCAAATGTAGGAGCAATACCGACATTTAATCGAGTAGGGAACGAGGGCACAATCCCCGACATAACGCTAGTGACAGAAAACAGCGCCCACAAAATCGTCGACTTGAAAGTCATCGATACATATAACGGAAGTGACCATAGCTACATAATGTTTGACTTAGCAGAAAACGAACTGACTACAGTAGCACCAAAGAGAAAAGGATGGAACGTTAACCGACTGGACAAGGCAAGGCTGATACAAGAAATTGACACAAGACAAAATCGACAGCGAAGCGGCAATATAGTAAGCGACAACATGGCAACCATAAAACAGGCTTGCAACGCTGCAATGCCAAAAATGGGCAACCCTCGAAGACAAGGACAAGAAGCGTACTGGTGGACAGAAGAGATAAAAGTCCTTAGAGATGCCTGTATTAAAAACAGACGCCGCCTTACGAGGGCTAGAAGGAGGGGGGATTTCACAGAGCAGGACAGCCAATATAAGAAATCTAAGAAGGACTTAAATGCTGCTATCCGTAAAAGCAAAACGGAAAAATGGAAATGCCTCTGCAACGACGTCAATAATGACCCATGGGGGTTGGGGTGTAAAGCCGTGATGAAGAAGCTGAGAACAAGAGGTACAACACCGGAACTGAAGGAAGAGCAAATGGACCATATAGTCAAAACACTATTCCCTGCCCACACAAATAGCATAGCAAGACCTACGCCACCAATAGCCGAAGAACAGATAGAGCCCTTCACAGTGGACGAGCTGCTGAAAGCGGCGAAAACTCTAAAAAGGAAGAAGGCGCCGGGGCCCGATAACATCCCATCAGAAGTCCTCAAAGTGATCGCCGAGAACAGACCCCAAATACTGCTGGATATGTATAATGCGTGCATTACCAGCGGGACATTTCCAGACACCTGGAAGGTGCAACGGTTGGTTCTGATAAGCAAAGGCAAAGGAGATCCCCTGACACCATCAGCTTATCGACCACTATGCATGCTCGACACAACCGGGAAGCTACTAGAGAAAATGTATGCAGATAACTTCAGGAGCTGCACAAGGATCTATACTTGGACCAGAGCTATGGAACATCAGCTACGACGAAATTTTCCACCTAGACATGCCTGAGGACACGACCATCGTGGGGTACGCAGACGACATAGTTGCAGTCATTACAGCTCGAAATACCGAGTACGCACAGCGCAAATTGACGCAGGTAATGACATGTGTAAAAATCTGGCTAAACTCACAAGATCTGAAACTGGCGGACGAAAAAACCGAGCTACTGTTAGCTACCAGAAAAAGAATCCCTCTAGAAATAGACATGAGCGTAGGGGAAAACTTAATAAGGACGCAGAAGGTTATAAAGTACCTAGGAGTCAGATTGGACTCAAAATTGACATTCAGCGCACACATACAAGAGACGAGGAAGCGAGCGACCGAGACTACAAAGGCGCTAAGCAGACTCATGGCAAACGTGGGCGGCCCCTTACAATCAAGACGGAAACTCTTGATGGAGATAAACCATGCAATCATGCTGTATGGGTGTGAGGTCTGGGCAGGAACCCTTGAGACTGCCTGCAGGTCAAAACCACTACTGGAGGTGCAAAGAACCATGGCTCTTCGAATCGCGAGCGCATATCGAACGGTATCCGGCCCTGCTGCACTAGTTATCGCAAGCGCGATACCTATCGACTTACTTGCTAAAGCGCGAAAACGGATATATGAGAGGCGACAGACAGGAGAGACGACGAGAGCGTTAATCGAGCGGACCAGAGAATAAACCCTCCAACAATGGCAGGAAAGATGGACAGCTGAAGAACGAGGAAGATGGACAGCTAGGCTGCTACCAAACCTGGTAGCATGGTCTACAAGGAAACACGGAGACTTGGATTACTACGTTACCCAGATGCTGACTGGCCATGGCTACTTTGCCGCCTTTCTATACTCGATAGGAAAAAGAAAGGTCGCCAGATGTATATACGGAGATGCAGAGATCGACAGTGCTGAACACACCATCTTTCAATGTGAAAAGTTCGGACCGGCGCGCATTTGCCTGGAAGAAGTTGTTGGGATAATAACACCGGAAAACATCATCACGAAGATGATAGACAGCGAAGCAGCGTGGAAACTCATTGCAGGATTCGTTGAGAACATCCTCAGGGCGAAGAAGCCTGATCTGGATGAGACAGCTGGGTGACCTGGACGCAGAAGAAGATGAGAGCGCATAGCGCTTAACTGGCGCCACCTCGAAGTAATGCGAAAGCTTTTCCGAGGTGGAAACACGGCCAACGACGAGGGGGGGTTTAGTGGGTGCAAGCCCCACATACCTCGCTTTGCGACGGCAAACGGGAGATGCGTTAGGCATTCCCCCTCCTCAACCCAAAAAAACAAAAAAAAAAAAAAAAAAAAAAAAATTATTATAATTATTATTATTGTTATTATTATTATAATTATTATTGCTATTATTTTTATTTTACATTTAATTTTATACGTATTATATTAATATTATTGTTTGTGGGGAAGACAACCAATATGCCACCCTTGTAATGAAATAACGCACGAGTAAGTTAAATTAATTAAAGTATGTTTATTTTGGAGTTGCAACACTTATGTTTTTTCGTTTTTTGATATTTGCGCGAACAATGTATGCGAGATGAGTTGGTGTTTGATCTGAGGCGAGATAAGCCGAAAGCGCGGCTTATTTATACCGTCGCTTTGACAATTATAGATAAAATAGATAGATAACATAGATAAGCAAAGAGAGGCTTGAAGAGCGGATTACAACTATGCAACTGCAGCGGCACACCTATGCGCACCAGATTATGTGCTGGCGTTCTGCTCCGAACATACTCCCCCGTTGGAAGAGGTAGGGTTCCAACTATATGGAAATCGATGAGCAGAACGGTTCGGAGACGGCTCCCAGGATGATGCCCGTAGCTGTACGGACCATAGCTACTCTGATGATGTCCAAGCGGCCATGTTAGAGATGGAATGTGGTCCTCCTTTGACAATACGATGCATCCGATCGCAGTCTTCAGGCAACGAAACTGGCTTTCCTGATGAGAAGTCCTCAATGTTCAAAGACCGCTTTCCTATGGAAGTAATAGCAAAACAATCAGTAGGATCCTGGACAATGGCAGAGGAAATAGATCTTTGATTTGGCAGCCTTGACATCCTTCCAGAAACGATCCAACCAAGCTTGGTGTTCTGAAGACAATTATTTCGAAAAATAGACCAGCTCCAATTAGCAGGTCAATATGCTGCGATTTATTGAAGTGAGGATCAGCGAGCGAAATATCCTTTGGAATCCTCCATCCTGTTGCATCTATGTCGAAGTGAGGCTGATAGTCAGTGATAGTTGGCGTCACAACTGCTGCGAATGACGCACGATAGCTTGAATCCCGTGATTGCGCAAGAATGTCGACTGACCTATCCGACTTTACGGACGATTTTCCGATCCCCGAAATGGGCGTAAGCGATGGCCTATGCTTCAACTTTAATTGGCTAGCTAGGCGCGAAGTTATGAAGTTGGATTGAGAACCTGAATCCAATATAGCTCGACAAGGTATAAGCGTACCAACTCTATTTTTTAGGTAGAGAATAGCAGTTGGAAGCAACACGTAGTCAGTCGGCGTAATATTTGAGGTTCTGGGTGGAGGGTTTGTCAAATGATGATGAGACTGTGATGCAGATGAGGTGGATGGTGATAGCTGAGAGTTCAGGAGTGGGTCGGATGATGGAGACGAAAATGATTTGGAAGATGCTGAAGGCTTCGGGGTCATATGCAATAATGAGTTATGCTTCCTGCGACAATGCCTGCAATGAGACGCCTTGCATTGCTGCAGTTTATGCCCCTTGCGCAAGCAGTTTAGGCAAAGGTGCATCTTCTTTGCTTCTCGAAATCGAAGGTTCGAACTCAAATTCAAAAACCGGGAGCACTTCGGCAAATGATGGCCCCTACCATTGCAAAATAGGCATACCATGGGATTTGATTTGCTAGCAGAAGCGAAAAGTACATTCGAATAATGTCTATGCAAGTTTTTTCCCACCTGCTGGCCTGGTGTTTGAGTTACCAAGGCTTGATCCAAATTTTCCATCATCCTACACCTCCTCTCCAAAAACGACTCCATGGCGGTCCATGTTGGAGCCTCAGCAATGGGCAAGACCTCTTCCCATTTTTCCAGCGTCCTCTGATCCAGCTTGTGAGCGACGATGTGAATCAACAGTCCATCCAAAATTTGCTCCGTAGTAGCCAGGGTTCGGATTGCTCGAAGATGAGAATTTAGTAAATCGCTGAGCTCCCGTAGACCCTTGGCAGATCCCTTCTCGACACCCTTTAACCCAAATATAGCCTTTACGTGTGCCTGGAAATGTAAAATTTTATTATCGAATCGGTTTATGAGTAAATTCAAAGCCTTCTGGTAGTTTGCATTTGACGGTTCGAGTGAGCGTATGGTTTCCAAAGCCACGCCGCCTAAACTAGACCGTAAATACTGAAGTTTTTCGATATCAGCTAGCTCTTCATTATTTCCAATAACCGTATTGAAAGTGGCAAAAAAGTCCGGCCAATCGGAGTAGGATCCATAAAACCGCGCGATCTCCAAAGCTGGTAATCGAGGCTTTCTAGACCGCAAAGAAAAATCTGGATTATTTGTGATATCAAAACACGTCGAGTTGGCAGCTGTGGCCCCAGCAAATTGCAATTTGCGTTGCGCCGCTAAGCCTCGATTCAGCCTAGCCTCCACATCCATTATGACTTCCGAAAACTCCATCCGTGTGTCCAGCACCAGCTCCTCCAAGTCCAGCCTTTTCAGCGCTCTCTGGGCAGAATCAAACGCCAAGTTTTGTGCCTCGATCCATTTCAACCGCACGAGAAAATCGGCTTCATCAAACTGGCTTATATTGTTCTCCACTAAATAATTTTTCAAAGCGTTGACTTGCCGCAATATGGATTGCACTTTGGCCCGAAAGAATGCAATTTCACTTGGGCCATTTTTAGGCTGATTCTCGTTTGCAGAATTTTGCATTTTATTTATCACAAAAAAAATAAAAAGTAAAAAGTAAATCTGAACTTTGCACGAATCACCCTGTGGTTTTTAAAGCGCGAAAATAATGAGCACCAAGCGTCACCAAAAGTTTGCGGAACTTTGTTTTGTTGTTGTTGCACAAGATTTTTGCCCGATTAGTAAAAACGAAAGAACAGCGCGAAATGTACAAAATCAAACGCCCGGCTAAATTCACTTTGTATGCGCGTTTGTGTGTTTGTGACCGAATGCCCGCAAACGACGACAAATGACAAAATGTTAAAGCGAAATAAAAACGAACGAAAACTAAGTTGCAGACTCCGATTTGAACGAATATCACGTCGGGGTCACCAAAATGTTTGTGGGGAAGACAACCAATATGCCACCCTTGTAATTAAATAACGCACGAGTAGGTTAAGTTAATTAAAGTATGTTTATTTTGGAGTTGCAACACTTATGTTTTTTCGTTTTTTGATATTTGCGCGAACAATGTATGCGAGATGAGTTGGTGTTTGATCTGAGGCGAGATAAGCCGAAAGCGCGGCTTATTTATACCGTCGCTTTGCCAATTATAGATAAAATAGATAGATAACATAGATAAGCAAAGAGAGGCTTGAAGAGCGGATTACAACTATGCAACTGCAGCGGCACACCTATGCGCACCAGATTATGTGCTGGCGTTCTGCTCCGAACAATTATTATAATTATTACTTTTATTACTGTTATTATTCTTAAAAAGTAATATTTAACTTAAAATTTTCCCTACTTTTTTTTTTTAATTATACTATTATTAATATTGTGAATCGATTTCCGAAGGTTATTGTTTGCTTCTTCCAATGGGAATGCCTTCTCTGATACCTCTGAAAATATAAACAGATATTTATTAAATTGGCTATTTTGAATAATATATTAAAATAAATGAAAAATATTGTTCATTTGTTTACCTATCAAAATACTATACAGGTTAGAAAACCTTTTTAGGCTTTTTTTCCCGCTGGTGCCGTCTAGGTTATGACTTGTGACCAAGTCGTCGTCCAAGACGTACCGAATGGCTTTGGTGAACGAGTATTTCGTGGTCACGTTTGTTATTTTTGCTTTCTATAATGACAAAAAGTTAAAATCTTTACTCTTACAATATAAAAACACTTACGTAAAACTCTCGCAGCTCAGGAGTCATAGAGCTCTCGAAGAGCTCTATATCGTACTCCGTCTTTAGGGGGAAGGGAACCCCTGTCTGATCCGACTTCTCTTCTCCTTCAATTTGACCTTGAAAAGTGCGGTGGTCTCCGCCAGCTTTTCGGCTAAGATGTCAACCTTGCGGTGCAGAGCCGCATTCTGCTCCGCAATAAAATTTTTTTGTACTGAAATGGTAAATAAATTTATTTAGAAAGGATTATATATATTGATATACATAGCAATTAATACCTTTTAAGGCGGCAAGAATTTCTTCATGAGATGAAACTGTAAGAAACTGAAATAAGTAATCAAAAATTAAAAAAAAAATCAAGAAACTTACGAGATCCGGATGACTGATCTGTGATCTGTAATATTTTAATTTAAGTTTTGTACAATGAAATTTATACTTACTCAACTTGGCAAAGTCAATCCGCCTAATTTTTAGTGGTGGCTCCGACATTCTAAGTAAATAAAAAGAACATAATTAAAATCATTGTTTTATAAATTGAAACTTTCTAATTTTTTTTTTTTTTTTTGGTTTCGAACCATGGAAGGTGAATCTTCAAAAGATATTTATTTAAAGCGCCGTCGCTTTAAATATGCCCGATTCGTAATTAAATTACGCCTACGGACTAAACACCTCAAAAATCCTAAAAATCCCTAAGAAAAGTGCAAGCAGGGAACTAAAACTGCATCCTGTTTGAAAGGCATAACTACAGCCTTTCTCCTAAATTCCCTAACTGAAAATTTTTTAACGCTTCCTAAGCTTGACGACCCTAAGGGCGCATCAAAAAAGTTTGTTTTATCATTGAATTCCCTACCTAATATAAATATTTCTCCTTCATTGTCCTCAAAGGACTCTATTTGTATTGGGATCTCATCCCCAACGAAACAAAAATTGTCTGGTTTCCTATCGCTAAGCCTACAGTCTTTAATTTTAAGAAACCTGCCTTCTAACTTCATTTCCTCCCTTTCTGGAGCTACATACGTTTCCTCT